TTCTTGGTCCTGTTAGAAGACTGACTGGATCTCACTGACTTTGGTTCTAAGGAAGGATTGAAGCTGGACAAAGGCAGCAGTAGTATAAAGGGTCCAGGTAAGACGTCCTTTGAATGTCTTGCTGTACCCAGAGATCCTCAGCCCCCATCTCATGAATGTCAGATGTGCTAGAGCTGGAGAGGTAGACTAAAAGATCAATCACTGAAAAGCAGAGGGAGAAAAGGAAAGTGAGGAGCTCCCAGGACTGAGAGACCCCCATATACAGATGACCTCTTGCTAGAGGAATTGGGGGACCTCTTCTTCTCCTCTACCCTGGGCCAAAAAGCCAAGCATAGGCTGGAGGTATGTCAAGTGCATCTTCTCCTGTCTCATCCTTCTGAGGAGAGGCGGGTAGGAAGAAAGGGAGACAGGGATTGGGGAGTGGCGACCACACCGCTAAGCCTGAGTCTTCTCACCTGATATAGATATTGCAGCTCATTGGGTTAGATGCATTTTTTTTATTGGTTGTGGGGCTTGAACTCTGGGCCTGGGCACTGTCCTTCAGCTCTTCAGCTCAAGGCTCGTGCTCTACCACTTGAGCCACAGCACCACTTTCTGTTTATGTGGTGCTGAGAAATAGAACCCAGGGCCTCATGCATGCGAGGCAAGTACTCTACCACTGAGTCACCTTCCCAGCCCCAGAGTTGGATGCATTTTGATCCTTGTGGGGACCCAGACACATATGAATCCTAAGCTGGAAACTCCAGTTGTTGGAACCAGGCCCCTGGGACACCTGGGTTTGGGGAGGCCTTCCAGGGTTGAGGAGGTTCCTGGGCTGGCTGGCTATGTCAGAAGAACGAATGGCCTTTCCTTCCCCCCATCCACACTGGCTCTCTTCACCCATCCACACTGGCTTTCCTTTGCTACAAGTGAAACTCGTTCTATCTGCATCCCTGGCTATGGACAGTGAGTGACTCTACCTCTTCCTCAGGTCCCACAACCTCACCTGTGACAGCGGGTTCGTGGAACTTCTGAATAGTCCTTTCGAAGACAAGTCCTTTGTGAGAGTGTGTCAAAACATATCTTTCATCTATAGAACTGCGTCCAACCGCATCACCATCTCCTACTCCAGCAGTCCCACACACCAATCCACACTCTTCAATGCATATGTCTATGGTAACTCCCCAGGTAGGTGGGCCACAGGAGCATTTTAAATCCTTTTGCTCTCTTTTGAGTCCATGAACATACCTTCTTAGAGAATAAGTGACCATCGAAAGCTAAGACAGGTTTTGGAGAAGGAAAGCACAACCTTAGGATTGCTGCTCCAGTTCCTCACATAAACACTGTCCTGTGGCTCTGGTCGATGGAGGGGGAGATAGGCCTAGGAGTGTGCCACACCCAGCCCTTGGTCACTTAAGCCCCAGTTCCCTTTCAGGATGTTTATGCTGTGTGATTTCAATGGATCCCATCAAACACAAGCAATGCATGTCAGAGAAGTAAAAACAGCAAGAGTTCTAGGCTTGGTCTGGTACAGAGTTGCCAAGTGCAGATAGAAACATTCATCTTTTGTAATCTAGTTTCTTATGTGCTCATCTGTAACCCCAGCACTAGGAAGTTCTGGGCCAGATTACAAGTTTAAGGCCAGCCAAGGTTACAAATGAAAAACAGGACAAATCAACAAGCAAACATCCAGTTTCCATGTTTATAGATTGAAAGTACCATCGGGTAACAGTAAACAGGTAGTAATTGTAGCAATCACATGACTCCGTTCAGCACTTAGGGTACTACTTCAAGGTATTATATTAGAGTGTTTAATTTCTCTTGAAAAGAACTCCCTATGTTCAGCATTATGACATTCATTTTAGAGATCAGAACTCTGAGAAGCAAAGAGAGCATCAATGACTGACTTCAAGCCATATAGTTCTAAGATGGACAAAGACTTCAGCCAGAGCTGTGTTCAGCTCTCTGCAATGCCTGGGAAGGGAAGCACCAGTGTCCAGTCAGTGTCCAGTCAGTCATGGGATGCGGTGTTTTTACAACTGGAGCTCTTGGAACCCATGTACTTAGCACAGGTCTCAGAAACAGCAACACTTCCATAGATTTTGATGATCTATTTCTCCTCAAATGAAGATTCTTTCAATGAATTTACTGCAACATTAAGTTGATTGTTCATGTCATGACAAAGTATTCAAGACAGAATTAGGATGATCAAACTCCTGCTTTGTCTAGGGCAGAATGAGTTTCCTGGGACCCAGGATGCCAAGTACTGAAAGTTATACATATTTAGGACAAATCAGTTCCAAATTGACCATCTTGGTGAGAGCTCATTTTTCTGACTGTGGCTCAAACTAGGAAGATTGTACTTTAATGGGGTGGATTTTTGTTTGTTTACAAAGAAGAAAGCAGGGATTAAGTTGGACGTTGCATGCTGAGAGCCAGGTCAGGATGGGTGCAGCAGAGGGGTCCGTGCGCCTCCCCTCTGCTCAGCTCCCTCCTCGCCCTCCCGCCTCCTCAGCCTGACATCCATTCTCCAGCTTCAAGCCTGAATTCATTTATTACTTCTTATTTTGATTCTGTTTCTCCCCCGGTGCATTTTCAGGGGACATTGAGTCATCGAGAGGGAACAAAGGTAAGCATGGTCAAAATAATTTTGCCTTTTCCTGGAACAGTGAATATGTGTTTTGTAATCCAGATCCAAATCGCTCAGCAGGCCATTCAGGTTCCTGGGTCATGTTCTAGGTCAGAAATAAGTGTTGAGCATCTTCTCCGCTTCACCACCCCAAGTCCCCCTGTCCCACCTCTTAGGGATCTTCTGCCAATTCATCTCCCCTCCCCATCCACTCACAGCTCCTCCACAGCCCAGGGAGTCCCCGGCACCCTCTCAGCTCAGGAGACAGGGAAAGCAATACTGGCACCATGCAGAGGCACCTGCTCTGATCTCTGGAATGATGGGAGCATGGAGGATGGTGCGGAAGCCACCAACAGCCCCGCCTGGCCCCGCCCTCACCCCTCCATGTGTTCTTCTCTGTCCGCAGGGCCCAGGGACTGCGGCGACCACCTCACACATTATTCAGGCAGGTACCTCAGTTCTTTCGGGCCCAGAATCATCTGTGTCTGGAATGTCCATCGGAAACCGTCAGGGCAAGTCCTGGCATTTCCCATCCACAGGTGAGTGTGGAAGATCGTGTGTTTGTTCACTAACCTTGTGGTTTTTTGAGAATGCATTTCTTCTTGGCCTTTCAATTCACTCTCCACATGACCTCAGGAGTATCAAACATATATTCTTATTTGTTAAGTGATTGAAGTACATATAAAATGCAATCGACCATCTGAAAGGGTGTAATCCAGTGGCGTTTATTATCTTAATAACACTGCACATCTGTACTTCCTTCTAGTTTCCGAATTTTTCATCACCCCAGAAGAACACCAGTAACTTTGAAAATCACTCCCTGCTCTCCCTTCTCTCCATATTCCTTGGCAATATCTACCTTGCTTTCCTCTCTGGGGGTTTGCCTATTGTGGATATTTCATGGAAATGGAATGAAGCAATATATAGGCCTTTTGTGTTATTTCACTTAACCGTAATTATGTGATCTACCTTTGGGATTCAAGGATTAATTCTTGAATGAAAGGAGACAGAAAGAATAGAAGCAGATGGGTGGGAAGGAATGAAAGATAGGAGAGAAAGAGTGAGGAAGGAAGGGAAGAAGGGGAGAGAGGAAGGACAGAAGGAAGAAAAGAAGGAAGGAAGGGAGGGCAGAGAGGACAGTTATAGATCCACGGGAGACTTTCTCAGTGCAGGAACAGCTTACAGCATTGTATCCCACACATCCCCACCATTTTAACATGGGACATACCTCTGTTCCAGACCAGAGCTAAAGCCAGCTCACAGTGGTAGACTACACATACTGTAAATTGTGGCAAAGGGTCCCCGCTCCTCCAGCCTGATTGCAGGAGCAAACCACTTTTAGGCTACAGAGGTGTTCTGGGGGATTAAAAAAAAAGCTTAGAGCTGTTATATCAAGAGTAAAGCTGTTTCTGCCTCCAACTTTTGACACAGGAATTCTGAAAAAATAAATCTCTTGTCATAGGGAAAACCAGGTTTGTGCACATACAGGGTGATTAATGAGAAGTTTATAGGCTAAATAGGTAGGCATTTCCTTCTTTACCCTTTCTCCAAATGTCAGAGTGTGAATGATTGTGAAAATGTCCCCATATGGGTCTCTGTGCTTTTCAGTCTCTTTAGCACTGAAGAGGAGCCAGGCTTGGTCAAGTGCAAATCTAGCATAAAGGGTCTGTACACATATACCCACTTGTCTTGTCTCCATGTGAGGTCCCGACTTTCTAAATGTAAGCACAAAACCTGGAGATGGGTACATAATGGTAGAGGCAAAAGATTACGTTGAGGGAGCTGAGCGTGGAAAGAAGTATCAGGCCTCCAAGGTCTGAGAACAGTTCATGTTTCCCCATCAAGGGCTGAACAGCTCTTGTTCTCTCTCTCTTGTACCCATCCTTGGGGGAGTGTGGGTGACTGCACCATGTTGTTTCCCTTCATGCCTCCTCTGCCAGGGGAAAGGAAAGTAGAAACCACTAATGACACAGTCACACCCAGGGTTTTTTCAGCCTGTCACTGAATCCATAAACAAAGGAAACACACCACTGTTTTAGGCTTCATTTTGATGAGACCGGAAGCACAGTGTGGTCTTGAAAACTTAAATCCCTGTGTGGAAATCCCAGAGCCATAGGCAGAGCTTGATGCATCACTAACATCACTGGACCTGGGATCTCCTCACAGCCCTGGTAGGTTGGGGGAGACTCCTAAAGATGAGATCCCTGGAAGACTTTCTGTATAGAAGAACTGAGAGACTTTTCCTCCCTGGCCCACACCTGGCATTTCTTGTCTTACGAGCAAAGCTGCGTGACCTGGGTTCCGGGCTTTGGTTGAGGTTGAGGAGAGGATGACTCTAAATGCTCACGTGTGCTTTTCCTTCCACCCCAACAGTCTGGCCTGTGCAAGCGAAGAGGAAGTGGCCGGCAAAACTTTTAGGTGGTATTCGCTTTGGAAAATTTGCCAAGACATCTCTTTTGTGTATAAACCATCTTCTAAACATTTAACTATCTCGTACATCAAAAATGCCACCTATTCGCCCACTCTCATTGATGCCTATTTCCCTCTTTCTTCAAAAGGTAGGTAAGGGAGGGCTTTCTGTTAATGTGGCTTCCCCTCCCTGTTGAAAAGAGATAGGGAAAATGTGCCAGTGGACCGCCACTGGGTTCGGGAGAGTCAGTGTGCTTCTGTGATCTTCTCTAGAAACATACACATGTTCTGTTATTATGTTGAGAGGCCTTGGCCCAGCCTTTCAGTATCATAAGGCTTTGGAGTTAGGTAGATCCATTATTAAAAGGTTTCTCCTTTAGCCTGGATAACGTACATATAAAATCTTTTACCTTTATTGGTCTTATATAATAACCATTTGTATGTATTCATACATCTAGACATGATATAGGGTGGAGACTGTACATTGTGTGATGCTGTAACCAATATGTTAGGGTTTTTTGATAGTAAGTATTTCTCAAAAAGAAATAATGTGAAAAGAACTCTATGCACAATCCAGGTTGTGGTGCCACATGCCTGAAATCTCAGCTACACAGGAAGCATTGGTGGGAAGATCATAGTCAAAGACCTGTGGAGAAAGAGAGAGACAGAAAAGAGAGAGATAGACAGAGAGATACAAACACAGAGAGAAGAGAAAGAATAACAGAGAGGACAGATCCCTATATGGTTGGAATTATCTTTACTATGCAGATGAAGAACAGATTTAGAAAGAGTAAATAATGTGATCAAGGTACTAAGTGTTGATTAAGTGTCAGACACAGGGTCACCTGAGTCTTAAACTGTGATCCTGCATACTAGAGAATGAGGAAGGACCACACTGGCATTTCATTTGTGGGGGCCACAGGCATCTATTTGGGGCATCTCAAGTATGGCAAATGGTCCCAAAATTACATCACTGATTTCTCACTACAAAATTGTATTCAAACAATTTTTTCCGATATCAACTTGATAACTGACCTTATGTGGAATATAAAACTATACATATTTAAATACAAGTGGGTTTTTTTAAACAAGATCTTTTGATTTTTCTAGAAGCAGAGGTTTTCTGGGACAGGAGACTTTAGAGTTAAATCAGAGCAAGTTGCTCCTCACAACAGCAGTGGACTTTCCTTACTATGGCTCCAGAGTGGGACATTGCCCTTTTGGTGGGGTCAAAAAAGGGGAAAGCAGATAGTGAGTGGGTGTTTGGATGCTGACAGCTACCCCGCTGTCCTCCCCAGCACTGCCCACAGGGATGGGGATGGCAATGCTACCTCCTCTTCCTGCTCAGCTCAAGTCCTTTGCATTCAGGCTCTTCTACACAGTGAACTCAATGACCACCACATGCCCAGCCCATCAGTAACTTCAGCTTCATGTTATTTTTCCATGTAGGCAATGTTTCCAGTGCAATTCGCTTACCTGCCAGGAGAGAAGGTAAGTGTGCTAGCATTATGTCATGCTTTCTGTCTCCTTATGGACTTTAGAGCAGGAATTTAAAAGGCTCTGGTGGAGATGCATATACTAGGGACTCATGCATAATCAAAAGAATGTGGCACCTGAAGCAGCCTTCACAATCTCTATATTCTCCTTTCCAGTCCAACTTTTCAAAGCTCCATTCCAACCACATCCCCACCACTACCACTGTAAGAGCCCCAGGAAGTCTTCTGAACCCTTCTATCTGCCTAGCCTCACAAGACAGGGAACTGGGATGCCTCTACATAGACTATGCCACAGGAGATGGAGCCTTCTCTGAACTCCTGGAGTCTGCAGAGCTGAGGATAATTCCTTTGTCAGGAAGAGAAATAAGAGTATTGAAGACAGAGGGATAGGCCAGCACAAGGCCAGACTGGAGGGAGGGAGTGGGGGGAGAATAGGTTGTCTTCTAATGCTGTTGACTTTATTGTATTTATTTGTCTTTAGCTTAGCCAGGTGTTACTCTGAGCTGAGTAGAATAGAGTTGACCCTGTAACACTTCTATGGTAGACATATTATACTGGCAATACTACACTTCATTTGAGTACTGTGATATTGGGAAATAGGAATGAGAAGGAAAGCCTCCCTCTCTTTGTGTTCTTGGGAATGGCTCACCATAAAAAGCCACCCTTCCTGTATAACTTGGCCTATCTAAGCCTTAGTGAAGCTTCCTATAAGAGTCTACGCTCTGATTCACCCCTCAGGGCAACACTGAAAAGCAGAGAGAACCCCTTGGGAATGCTTCTGCTGGTGAGCTGGGAAGCACCTTCCTGAAAACTTCTGAAGACACAGCCTGCTCACTCCATGCCTGAGTTCTGCAGCCTCTGAGATCCTCCCTAGAAAACAAGATTCCTTTCCCCTTGGCCCTGAGATACTTCCAATCCTGTGAGTGGAACTTTTTTACTTGTGGCTATCACCCTTCAAATAAAAAAATTCCTTATCTAAGTCAAAATTTGTTTTCTTTACTTCAACATCTTAAAATTGAAGGGAATATTGAACAGTGATCAAGAAGTCTCTGGCATGTGCTAGGCTGAGAGTTCATCTTTAACACCAAAATAAGCAAACAAAACTAAACTAAATAAAAACTCATTTTCTGTACATATGAATCCCCTAAAAAGCTATGAGAAGAGCAAAATAAGATCCACATTATAAGAATGAAGACTGAAATTTAAGATGACATAAATGAATCCCAAGAATGCTCAAATGGAATGCTGTACAAAATAAAGAAGATAATGCAGACTATGAAAATGTAATAAAGATACAGAAATTCTGAAATAAAAGACAAACTGAAATTCTGAAAATAAAAAGTTCAGTAAGTCAGACAAAACTCAGTCAAATGCTTTGTTAGTAGACTGGGTCAAATTGAAGACAGGAAATCAGAGCTTAAGGTAAAGATGTTAGAACATACAGATGACGAGTGAAAAGCACACTAACCGAGTGTGTGAACCGAACAATTGAAATCTCCAGGACACTATTAAGAGACTAAATGGGCATAGAAGAAGGAGAAGAGCTGCAAGCCTTCAGCATAGAAAATAGATTTAATAAAACCATAGCAGAAAACTCCAAATTTGAGAAAGAGATCCTCATTTAGATACGGAAGGCCTTGAGTCTAAACAGACAAGAACCTTTCCATGTCACATAACAGTTAAAACAGACACTTAAAGAATATTGAAAGCTTTAGGAGAAAAGTGTCAATGTCACCTGTGGGGCACACAGGCAGCAAAGATGGCCCTGAGAGGAAGTTGAGTGGGCAGAGCCGGATTTGTTTACCTTCAGTGCATAAACAGCTCTTGGAAGTTTAGGTGCATGATAAGGTGTGACCTTTACAGTGATTGGTTAGTTCCATTTCCTCCCCTCCCAGGCAGTCTTTTGCTTTAAAAAGGGCTTGCTGTGTGTTAATAAACAAGTTCCTGCTTGACTTGACTCTCCTGCTGAGTCTGATTGTCTCCTGGGCTAAGGGAGGCTGGGGAACGGGGAAGCAGCCGCACTTACCTTTCCTTGGGCCCCATCCATCTTTCCTGGGACAGATGAAGACCCAACAGTTACCTATAAAGGCAAAGCCATCTGAGTAACAGCAGCTTTTTCATCAGATTAATGAGAGTATTGAGTGATGTTTGCAAGCAACTTAACTTACATTATTCTACCCTTTAAAACTATCCTTCATAATTGAAGGAGAAATAAAGCCTTCAATGAGAAATAGCAACATTATCAAAGAATGAAGCAATTCAAGACCAATAAACCACTGCTGCAGAAAATAGTCAAAGGAATCCTAGATGCCAGGCACCAGTGGCTCCTGCCTGTAATCCTAGCTACTCAGGAGGCTGAGATCTGAGGATTGCGGTTCAAAGCCAGCCCAGGCAGGAAAGTCCGTGAAACTCTTATCTCCAATAAACCATCAGAAAACCAGAAGTGGCACTGTAGCTCAAGTGGTAGAGCACCAGCCTTGATCTGAAGAGTTGAAAGACAGTGCTCAGGCCCAGAATTCAAGTCCCATGACAGACAAAAAAATAAAAATAAAAAGGAATCCTAGACACAAAACAAAGATAAATTAAATCATGAAAACACAGAAAGAATGTATATCATTAAATATATTCTAATGATGTATGTAATTTTATATAGAATTCTAATTTTGTGGTATATATTGTACATATAAATGGTAAAGATGCACCAAACAAATAAAAATAGTAGCAATTACTACATATCATTTAATAATAAACTTGTTAATCCTTATTAATGGACTTGTTACCATTCTCCATTCATAACTTATGATGAAGCCAGTCACTGGTGGCTCCTAGCTACTCAGGAGGCTGAGTTCTGAGGATTGTGGTTTAAAGCCAGCTTGGGTAGGAAAGTCCATGAGACTCTTACCTTATATTAATAAAGAAGCTGGAAGTGGAGCTGTGGCTAAAGTAATAGAGTGCTAACATTGAGCAAAAAAACTCATGGACAGTGCCCAGGCCCTGAGTTCAAGCCTCAAGGCTAGCACAAAACAAAAAGAAAATAAGACTGGTAGATGGGATTAAAAAAGGCATACACATTTGTGGCCTAAAACAAATGCACCTCATGAGCAAGCACAAACACAGGCTTTGTGCACGGATTAAAATTTTTTTTGGTTTTTTTTGGGGGGGGGTCCAGTCATGGGGCCTGAACTCTGGGCCTGGGCGCTGTCCCTCAGCTCTTCAGCTCAAGGCTAGCGCTCTACCACTTGAGCCACAGC